TGATGCTGTTTTCTTCTCAAACAACCTCATGTGGATTTTGTACAAAACAAGACCCAAACTGTGTAGTCTTTGCAAACTATTCAAAGTTTTTTTAAAATACTTCCTCGCAATGAGAAGAAAACTGCTAAAATTACTTGTTGCTTCCTCTATGAACAAAATTAATGAAGAATTACCTCCCTAGGTAAGTCTTGTGTTGAAGGGCAACATAGTACAACTGAATCATGAGCCAAGTACACAGCTGAACACAGGCACAATTCTACTTCTGCAATCTTGAATGGAAGGCAGATGTTGAGCATCAGACAAAAATGTTCAAACACAACTGTAAAGAAATAACACATTTGTAAGACACCCACAAGATTCCTGCAAGTATCAATATTCTTTAATGTCACTGTGAGGCAACTGCCTCATGCAGCAGATGTGGGGTGTCACTATATGGATGCAAATTGTTCATTAATTACTACATTATAATTGCTAACTTTTTTTTTTTACTGCCAGGAACAGGGGCCTATGGAATCTTTCATTCCTTGATGGTGGGGCAAAATGTTTTGGGTTAGCCCTGTTGATCCTGTTGTTGGGGAGGAGGAGAAAGCAAATTAATTTTAAAAGGAAGAAATTAGTTCAACAATTTAAGAAACAAATGCCATGCAGAAACATATTTACTCCAGAGATCTATCTAATGGCATACCCTCCAACAATCCCGATTTGGTAGGGACAGTCCCAATTGATCCTCTATCATTCCACTTTTTCAGATGCTTTGAAAATGTCCCAGTTCCTCTCCCTTCCATTTTCCTCCTTTGTCCTCAACTTAACTCAATTGCTGCAAATTGAGCTCAAAATGCAAAAGTAGTTTTCACCCTATTGGCTCAGCAGGGAGGACAGGAGAGAAGGTGGCATAATCTTACTCTTTCCATGATTCCCTAATCAAATAATAATAATAATAAGAATACATTTTATTTATATCCCGCCCCTCTGTCATGCAATCGAGGCAGCTCACAACAATTTAAAAACATCATATAATGTTAAAATACCATCCAAATCCCACAGCCCCCCACCCCTTAAAAAAGAATTAAACAATTTTTACATTAAAACAATGATTCAAACACATAATTAAAATAAACAAATTGTAATGCTCAAGCAGAAGCAAATGGCTATAACCTCTCCTATCTTGTCTTGTTCTTCCTCATTAATAGCGTTTGACATTTTGACCACACTCAGAGGTTTCTTGGCTACCCATTTTTAATCTGTGAAATGTTGGATAGTATGTAATTGCAATTCCATTTAATGGGCTTGTATCCTGGTAAGAGTATTTGGACTGGAGCCTCAGTCAAAAATCTATGAAAGAATATTGCGAATGCTCAGTCATGTAAGTGAGCACAGAGTAAACAGACAGACATGTGAGCATCCTCCCTGAAAAAGAATGGCAGAGAGTGGGAGCCCTGACAACAATCCTTGTTTATTTTAAAATGGCTGATTAACTGAAATTTTACCAGGTCTTTTCTTTTGAAAAAGACAAATCCTTCTGAGTGAATTCCACAGAGGACTGAACTTCAACTTTAAGGTTACAGAATGAGATCACCAAGAGTCAGAATTCCTCCAGACTGGAGATTGTAATTACAAGGAATGTGAAGAATCCTACTTGACCTTTAAATATATTGACATGTCTGCAGTTATAAATGTGTTTGTGAAACCTGCAAATCCTACACTCATTAAATATTGAATACCAGAATGGTTGCCTATGTAATCTCACTTTCTATTCCCCTTTATATTATCCTTATTTTTGATCTCTCGATCTCTCTCTCTCTTTCTCTCACAAACAAACACACACACACACAGCTGTAAATATTATACATAGGCCTGCTGAGAAAAAAAGAATAAAAAGAATCTTCTTATACCCTACTCCAATAACAAATTATAATACCAAGCCTTACCGAATGAGATTTATTCATCACACCTGAAAGAAACAGTGGAAACTCGTGGGCATAATGCACTGTACCTAGTTTTCTGAGAAAAGAGTTGTTGTGATCAAGGTGATTTCTTTTATCCAACATGACATCTGTATCTGGGCAAACAAGAAGATATTACAAGAGCTTACAAATAGGGGTTTGACAATGGACCCACATGATAAGAAAAATGAATGAGCTGCCACCATCACTGAGCTGTACCATTTCAAAAGGAGGTGGGTGTATTGATGTACTTGTTTGCATTTGATCTTCAGCAAAATTAACTAGCACAAAGGAAGAAGGAAGAATTAGAACCTATTGCTTTGACATGCTAGATTTCCACAATCAGGGTTGGTTGGCTGGTTAGTTGGTTGGTTGGAAATCATGGGTGGAGAGCCTAGGGGACACCCGTAATCCTCAATGCTGCCCTTGAGAGGTTCCCAAGCCTCCAACAAATGCCTCCTTCCTGATGACACTTGCCAGGTTTCCCCGTGGAGCCTGTACTTGGCACAGTGGACCTTATCACACAGGGGTCTAAAGTGCTCACATCCCCATGTGATCGCGCTTCCTTACCCCGGCTGATCAAACGACGTCGCTGGGAAACCCCGCCCATCCCCGTCGCATCCCGGTCACATCCCTGTACTATCGCGCTTCCTCTTTCCGGCTGGTCACACGGCGTCGCAGGGAGGCCCCGCCCACCCCCGTCGCATCCTGGTCGCATCCCTGTGCAATCGCACTTCCTGTCGCCGGCTGATCAAACGACGTCACAGGTAAACTGCTCGCATCCCCGTCCCAATGCAGCATGATGCTGCATCATCCAGGCATCATCCCCGTTCTTTTGAATGCCTGGTCGAAACGGGAATTACATTTCCCGCGACCAGAATGATGCTGGGATGATGCTGCTTTCTGGCCAAGGAAGCGCGATGGGACGGGGATGCGAGTCCCCGTGTGATAAGGTCCAGTGTGTGGAACAGTTGCTGGGTGGGATGCAGGGAAGCAGGATTGTGTTGGAAAATAAGGCATGCCTGCAGGATGTCATTTTTATGAGGGAGTAAATGAGCATAAGGGCAGCTGTCCCCATGAGCTCTTGTCCTTCTCATAGTTGGGTTCCTCCACCCTGCAGAACAAGGGTTTGGAAGACTGAGAAGCATGACTTAAATGGGGGGGGGGAGGCACTGGAGGAGCATGCTTTAAAGAATAGGACACATGGGTTATCCTAATATGCCATTTTCCTCATTTAAATCATAAGTGTGTGCACACACCACACCAATCCAGCTGATTTGGTGCTACACCAACTAGTATGCTCCTCAGCTTTTCACAACACCAGTCATCTCAACAGAGATGAGCAATATATAGGAAGGGGAAGTTTAAATTTTCCCAGTCACACATGCTGAGCATACAGATGTACAAGATAAAGTAGGGAACAGAGGGATATTAGCTTTGGTTATGCTTATGGCCAGCCCAGAATTCTCCTGCTGTCACTCTGATTGCTGGGTCCCTGATGTAAGGTGTAACCATTTTGATACTATGTTAACTGCCATGGCTCCATCCTAGGGAATCATGGGATCTGTACTTCCATGAGTACTTAGAATTCTCTCCTTCTAGAGTGTCCTGGTACTGTTGTTAAGGGGGAGGGTGGTCAGATAGAGAATTCTAAGTACCTCATCCCAAATTAAAAATCCTAGGACTCTGTAGCATGAAGTCATCATAGTTAGTGGTATCATATTGCTATAATTATACAGTGAGCATGCATCCCTACTGCCCACTGTTGCTACATGCAGCACACCTGTGATGTAGACACTCAATTGTTTGTGCCATTTCTGAATCCCAACACCCACTTTCTAAAATGTCATTACCCCGTACACACACACCTACCATTCATCATGTCTCAACACTAGATTTGTAATTTTAAAAGACTTGGAGTTTCATTTGGACATTAATCCCCATCCTAATTCTCCCTGACATACCAGCTCACCATAGTCCACAACCAGTATCACAGCTTCCCCCCCCCCCCCCCCCCCCCCCCCCCCCCCCGCCGCCGCTTCATCTTTTGGCTGATTTGCCTTAACAAAAAAAATTGTCTCTACACAAAGAAAGATCAGTGTTTGAAAAAGCATATTTTGGAAACTAGAAATTGGAGAAGTAGAGGGGGGAATGAAGTGGATGTTATTTTGTGTGTGAGAGAGACAAAGAAAGCAAACAGCAAAATTACTTTTGAGTAGTTCACACACTACCAGTTCACTCGAGATTAAACTACAAAAAATTGTCTTCCTTTTGTCCCCCAGGCTCTGAAAAAAAAGAAGTAGCTCTCCCACACCTTCTGGACCAAATTATCATTGATCAAGTGTGATGAATACAGCTGGAAATACTCAGATCCGGTTCTGCTTCTTATGGCAAGGTCTTGAGAAGCTGCCTGCAGGGAACACTCCCCCCATGAACTGCTTACCATAGCTAAGATTCCTTCTTGATCTCTGCCTACAATTTCAGGACTTCCACATGGTCAGTGGGGTTTAACCATGCTGGTGTAAACATACTGCTAGAAATTCTACTTCACAGGTTTCCTGCAATACCCTCATCCTTCTGAAGGCTGAAAGAGATATTGGGTTCACTTTTCAAGCCTAGGATAGTGGCAAAAAGAGTATATCAGAGTGACCCATTCAAAGGTAATATTGTTCATTCCCCTTTACACAATGCAGTATAATATAATATCGTATAGTATTGTGTACAGTATTCCAATAGTTCCCCAGGATGGGAGCCCTGGAGGGAGATGGGAGTTGCTCAAGGGGGACACAAGACTTGGAGGCCTTGATCCCTTCTTCTCCTTCTCTTCCCAAACTTTTTAATGTGTAAAATTTACACATGTATTGAGCTAAATATTGAATTTATTTAAATAAAACTGTTCTAATTTGAATGATATTATTTTCTTATAAAATGTTAAAATATGAATGTACATGAACGTGCAAATTAACATACACAAACTAAATATTTTTATTCATATACGACATTGAGTGGGGGTGTGAGATGTGTGCCTGAGAACCATGGTAGTATTCTATAGCATGAGCCAGTGTGGTGTAATGGTTTGAGCATTGGACTATCACTGTGGAGGTCAGGGCTCAATCCCCTGCTCAGTCATGGAAACACACTGGCTGACTGCAGCAGCCCTGAAAAACCCCAGATAGATTTGCCTTAGGGTTAAGCTGGAAATGAAGGGACACAACAACAACACTGTATAACACAGAATAGTATAGTATAATATAGCATAGCATAGCACTGCACAGTCTTCTCTTCTCAGCCCCAGTGGTGACTCATGCTCCTATGTCAGTGGGGAAGTGAATCCATTCCAGGTGTTAATCCAGGCTTTAAAGAAGTGCTTGATGGTGCTGAAGGCTATTCCTATATAGGTTCACCATCTTGGAGAGCTCCTTTAGAACCATAGAATGATAGCATTAGAAGAGACCAACCTACAGTCTTCATCCCTTTAATGGAATCAAAGTGTTGGAAGAGACCACAATAGCCATCCAGTCCAACCACAAAATACCCCAACAGATGACCATCAGCCTCTTTTTGAAAACCTCTAAAGGAAGAGACTCCCCCACTCTCTGAGGCAGTATGTTCCACTGTCAAACAGCTCTTACTGTCAGGAAGTTTTCCCTAATGTTTAGATGAAATATGTTTTCCTGTAGCTTGAATCCACTGCTCCATGTCCTAGTCTCTGGGGCACCAGAAAACAAGCTTGCTCCATCCTCCATATGACATCCCTTCAAAATGTTTTAACAGGGCTATCATATCACCTCTTAACCTTCTCTTCCCCAAGCTAAACATATCCAGCTCCCTAAGCCACTCTTCCTAGGGCATGGTTTCCAGACATTTAAAGAAAGCCTAAAGCTGAAATGGCTCCTCCACTCCGCTGACATGGGACCCAACAGCCCCTCTGCTAACATCACACCACCACCCCAGAAACTGAGATTAAAGTAGGCAGGAGAAGCAGAAGTTTCATTCCTAGTTGAGTGTGAGAGCAATTTTCTTCTTGAAGACATGTTTTTTGAAGAAGCCGGTGAGGCACTCCTGCTGGGCTGTAAGCATAGCCATTTGTCGGTTCTCTAGCACTGAAGCCTCAGTTTTTGGTTAAACTATAGGACATAGAGATGACAGTAGAGTAAGGTGGCTGCCCCAGGCAGCAAATACTGAATATCACAAAAGGCAGCAAACAGCTAGTTAATTTGTTGTTACTGAATTTTTACTGCCTGGGATGGAGGAGAGGGCAACAGGATTTAAATAACTTGGCTGGCTTTGGGTACAGTGGAACCTCTACTTACGAATGCTTCATCCTACGAAATTT